GTTGCCAGGAGGAGAGGAATTATTTTACCAGTCCTGGAACTTGAATTTAGGGCTTGAGCACTGTCCTTGAGCTATTTTGTTCAAGGCTGGTGCTCTATCACTTGAACCACAGCCCCACTTCCAGCTTTTTTTTAACTGGTTCATTAGGGGGAAGAGTCTCATAGACTTTCCTGCTCAGGCTGGCTTTGAAACAGCATCCTCAGATCTCAGGCATGAACCACTGGCACCCACACTAACTTTCTAGAATCTCGAGAAACTGACCCTCCAACTTGTAAAATAATCTGAGCATAAGAAGAGCCCTTGTCTTCCAAACTCCTGACATTAAGCAGAGATGTACCCCGATGCACAAGTAAGTTCTCGTGAAGTTTCTGATTCTGGGATTGTTTTCCACATTCTAAGATGGCCAACCAAGTTTGTCCCCTATGTGTGCTTTTGCCCTGGGCACCTGGCCGTGGGGTTCATGGCTTCCTCTCCTGTGGGGGGAGGCCCACAGACTCACCTTTATGAAAGAGTGAAAAAAGGCATCGATGCGGACCTGCAGCACGTTCCCCAGGAAAGGAATTGGGGTGGGGCCTGGGGGCAGCTTTCCTCCCTTGTTGATTTGACTCCAGACCATGAGGATGAACAGACAAGACATACTGAGCACCAGAAAGATGGTCAAGGCCCCTCCTAGGTCCATTGTGCCACACGGAGAGAGAGGTTTGCTCCTCGGCTTCAGATCCTTCCTAAATAGTTTCTGGGAGCTTAAACTGAAATCTAAATATCCTGAAACTCAGGTGTGCTGGGTATAATGCCATCAGAGGAACAGATTCCTTGGCAGGGGGTTTATGTAACTTATAATCTCCTCCCTGAGTACAATATATTGAATTCACCCTTGGGAAAATCTCTGGGAAGGGGCCTTCTCCTTTCTTCCTATTACTTATTGGTTTTTCTTCTTCTTCATTTTTTTGTCAGTTGTGGGGCTTGAACTCAGGGCCTGGACACTGCCTCTGAGCTCTTTTGCTCTACCACTAATAGAGCTAGTGCTCTACCACTTTGAGCCACAGTGCCACTTCTGGCTTTCTAGTGGTTGATTGGAGATAAGAGTCTGACAGGGACTTTCCTGCCTGGACTGGCTTTGAACCACAATCAACAGATCTCAGTCTCCTAAGTAGCTAAGATGACAGGCATGAGCCACCAGCAGCCAGATTCCAATTCTTAACTTTGACAGGAAGCCAAAGGGAAAAGAATAATCTCTTCAATAAACTGTTGGAGCCAGTCAGAAATGGCACTGTGGCTCAAAGTGGTGGAGTGCTCGCCTTGAGCATCAAAGCTAAGAGACAGTGCCCAGGCCCTGACTTCAAACCCCATGATGAACAAGAACGGGAAATTTGCTCCATAAATACTTGACATCAAGTTAACTTAAAAGACCGCAAGCTGCTGTGGCCGGGCGGTGCGATGCCGCCGGGGTCTGGTCTGGGGCTGGTGTGGTGGTTTGGACGCTGAATGTCCTCCATAAAAGGCTTGGGCCCCAACTGGGTGTAAGTGGACAGAGGTAGAAGCTTTAAGGGTCAGAGCTTAGTGATAGATGTTAGGTTATTTTGAGGCTGCCTTATAAAGGCCTATGCAGAGTTCCAAGCCCTTCCTCTTCCTCTTCCTCACTTCCCATCCATGGAGGAACAGCTTTGATCTCCCCTTCCTGTTCCAGGTACTGCCTCCTCCCACCTCGAAGGTTCTCTCTTTCTCTTTCACTCTATCACACTATCTCTCTGTCTCTCTGTCTCTGACTCTGTCTCTCTCTCCCTCTGTCTCTCTCTCTCTCATGCAAGTAGAGGTGCTTGAACTCAGGGCCTGAGCACTGTCCCTGAGCTTCTTTGCCCAAGGCTGGCACTCTACCACTTGAGCCACAGCTATACTTCTGGCTTGACTGTAGTTCATTGGAGAGAGTATCATTGACTTTCCTGCCCAGGCTGGTTTTGAACCACAATGCTCAGATCTCTGCCTCCTGAGTAGGTAGGCTGACAAGCTTGAGCTAGTGGCCCCCAGCTTTAGCTCAAATCTCAACTCAGCACTCTGCTGCTGCCTAGTGGTCAAGGGGAAGCAGTGCATGAGCTCCCCTCAAACACTTGTTGGCCTGTTTGTTTGATGGTGGGTGGGGAAAACGGAAAACTCTTTGTGAACATTACTAAGAATTCACAAAATATGTACTTTGCAACATGAGAGGAAAAAAGTCACCTCATAACAATGGACGTGTACAAGGTATTGGCAAACAAAATGTGTGGAATTTACAAGTCACTGTGTAGACTTCCCAGTCTTCCTAAGGGCTCAACTCTGCTGTCTAGAACCAAGCATTGTGAAATGTCAAGTGTTTGGTAAATGCCGAAGCTCACACACACACACACACACACACACACACACACACACAATGTTCTGTAAGCAGAATATTCTATTTACAGTATTGTGGAATATTCACACAAATACAAAATGTTCTGTAAGCAGAATACTCTGTTTACAGAGCATTGTGGAATATTCTGTGAAGAGCTCTTTCTAAAGGCAATGGGGTGGGTGCTTGTGCATGCGCGTATGCATGCACTCGCCTGAATTCATTCTCTCTCCCTCTTCCCCCACCCTCTCTGAACCTTGCTCTCTCCACTGGTTTATTCTCACCCTACTACATTTAGACATCTGGCTTCTAACCAGATTCTGCTGTCAGCTCCTTCTCATCTGAGTGGAAATACAAGAGAAATCTACTCCCAACCGATGTGCAAATCACAATCTAGAAACACAAGTAATATGAAAAGGCAAAGCCTTCAGGACCAGTGGACTCACGAATAACATCTATCAGATATTTGTAGGCAAAACTATGCTATGATTTAAAAGTGGTCCTCACATTATCCACCCTCCTCCCCCCCCAAAAAAATATAGGAAGGGAAACAATGTTACTGAAGTCATTCTATGAAGCCAGTATGAGACCCTATAACCAAAACCTGGAAAAGACATCACAAAAAGAGGAAATTGTCACCCAATTTCCTTAATGAGTATGCACACAAAAATTTCCAGGCACCAGTGACTTGTACTATAAAGCTAGCTATTCAGGAGGCTGTGATCTGAGGGTTATGGTTCACATCCAACCAGGGCAGGAAAGTCTATAAAACTCTTACCTTCAATGAACCAACAAAAAGCCAGAAGTGGAGCAATGGCTCAAGTAGTTGTGTACTAGCATCGAGCATAGAAAGCTAAGTATGATGTAAGGCCCTGGGTTCAAGACCCAGTACTAGCACAAAAATAGATAAAAGGATGGACAGATGGATGGATAGATAGATAGATGATAGAGATGGATAGTTAGAGATAGATTAATAGACAGATAGATGATAATGAAGAAAGAAAGAAAGAAAAAAAGAAAGAAAGAAAGAAAGAAAGAAAGAAAGAAAGAAAGAAAGAAAGAAAGAAAGAGTAGGTACTCCAAGGTGCCAATATAAGAATCTCACCACTCAGGGGCATGGATTAAGGAGAAGCTTGTTCAGAGAGAAGTAAGGGAGGAAGGTGAGAATGTAGGTGCCAGAGGGCTATGGCCTTGGGTGGTTATGATCATTTTCATTGAGGAGGAACATGGAAAGTATCATGTGGAGTAAAAGCAGCAGACACAGGAGATCGCCTGTTTGATTCTTTTTTTTTTTTTGTCCGTTATGAGGCCTGAACTCTGGGCCTAGCTCCATTCCTCAGCTATTCAGCTCAAGGCTAGCACTCTACTACTTGAGCCACAGTGCCACTTCTGGATTTTTCTGCTTAGGTGGTGCTGAGGAATCGAACCCAGGGCCTCATGCATGCAAGGGAAGCACTCTACCACTGAGCCACCTTCTCTGATTCTATTTATTGAAAATCTGCCAAATAGAGAAGCCAGTCCACACCAGGCCTGTTGCTGGGTGCAAGGACTGGGGGAGGGAGGAATGGGAGGCAGGAATTGAGGGATGATCGTTTTATTAGGTGCAAAGTTGTGGAAGGAATGACCAAAATGTGCTGAACTCAGAACCGGTCATGGTGCAACTCTGTGAATGAGCCAAACGCCACATTGGAAAGCAGTGCATTTTACATGCTGTGCATCTTTCTTGGGATCTACATGGAGGGCGAGGGGTGGCCCCAGGGAAGAGTTTAGACAAATTCTGGAGTCACACAGAACCCGGTCCCTCCACTCACGCCGGTGTGACCACACACCACTGATGCCATTGTGTGCTAGGGTCTCGTGTGCATCTGTAAGAGCAGCGTGCAGCTGGGGGCTCAGGCTACTCAGGAGGCTGAGATTGGAGGATCCTGAAGACCACGGTTCAAAACCAACATTCTCCCTACCTCCTGGGCAAGAACAATCCACGAGCATCTTATCTCCAACGAACCATCAAAAACAAAAAAAAAAAAGCTAGAAGTTGGGTGGAGGTGTGACTCAAGTTGTAGAGCACCACCTTTGAGTGAAAAATGAAGTAAGAACATGACACTCTGGGTTCAAGCCCTAGGACAGACAAAGAGAAAGGGAGGGAGCAAATGAGCAAGAGAGAGACACAGACAGACGTGGCCATTGTACCCACCCCATTGGGGCAGAGAAGTTGAGTATTGAGAAGGCATAGGCAGAGCCCTTGAACATATCCTGCAGAGCTCAGGAAGCCAATGGATGGGGGGGCGGGGCATGGAGCTGAGCAAGGGAGCGCCATTTTGCATTAGACAGGTGGCTTAGAAACATAACCACACAAGGATCTTGAGCCAAATTTCTCCTCTCAGCCCTGCTTCTGGATGTGTACACCCAAGAAAGGGGCTTTGTGGTTGTTATCATTCTTGTTGTTTTGCATGATTGCTTCTAAAGGCTGAAATTTTTCTTGTCAGTTATGGGGCTTGAACTCAGGGTCTGGGTGCTAGCCCTGAGCCTCTTTGTGCTCAAAGCTAGCACTTTACCACCTGAGCCACAGCGTCACTTCAGGCTTTTCAGTGGTTCATTGGAGATAAGAGTCTCATGGACTTTCCTACCCAGGCTGGCTTTGAACTTTGATTCTCAGATCTCAGTCTCCTGAGTAGCTAGGATTACAGGCATGAGCCATCAGCACCCAGCTTGCAATTGTTTAGAGGAGAAGAAAGGCCTGGTCAAGCGATGAACATGAGAGACTGTTCACATCCAAGATGGTGGAGAAGGCGTTCCTACAGAGGTGGGGGACATTTCATGACCTCAAATCCTCTGAGCCCTCTTCTGCCAGCCCGTTCAGAGGGGCAGGAAGCGCAGCTGGTAGGTGGGGGGCACTCTGCCCACGCCACTCTCACGGGGGGAGAGGTCAATGTCCTTCGGAGCCACGGGACTGGCCAAGGAGAAGTGCTGAAGGATGGTGGTAAAGAAGAGGAATAATTCACTCCGGGCGATTCCTTCACCGAGACAGATGCGCTTCCCTGTGGGCACAGAAGAGCAGCCTGTGGGTGCTGGGACAGGGCAGAGTCTTGGCCTGGCCTCATCCTTACACCCAGATGCCTGTGTCCTTCAGATGGAATGGACTACAGACTGGAAATTCAGGGTACACCTTTTTTTGGGGGACGGTACTGATCCTTCTCACGCTGGGAGGAGAAGTTGAGGTGGGTGTCCTGTGCGCATTTCTCTACTTCTTTTGTGCCCACCCTGGGATTTGAACTCAGAGCCTAGGCACTGTCTCTCAGCAGTTCTCACTCAAGGCTGGTGCTCTACCATTTGAGTCACAGCTCCACGTCTGGCTTTTTTGGTGGTAATCGGAGTTAAGAGTCTCATTGACTGTTTGTTTGGCCTGGGCTGGATTTGAATCCTCAGATCTCAGCCTCTTGAGCAGCTGGGATTACTGGTATGAGCACCAGCACCCAGCTGAAAAGTAGGTTTCATAGACTGTTAGCTCAACATTGGTTTCCTTGAGGAATCCTAATGTGGGTGGGGTGGGTGGGGAATCGCGCCTGCGTGGGCAAGGGTCCAACATCTTTTGGCACCTCTAGAATGGAGGAGGCAGGTGTTGAGGAGGGCTCAAGCAGGCCCTTCTCCTGGAACTGGTTCTGGGACTGGCTTTTCTCCCTTCTTTTTCCTTAGGGCTACTTGGACACCCTTGATATCTCCTTGGTTCTCGTAGTCTATTAGTTCAGTCTGTCTGCAGTAGGAAGCCTCTATATGTTTCTTTTCCTTGTTGTTGTTGTTGATGGGGGTGGGAGCACATGCATGCCAGACCTGGGGATTAAACTCAAGGTCTTGGTGCTGTCCTGAGCACTTTCTTCTCAAGGCTAAGTGACTTGAGCCATGGCTCTACTTCTGACTTTTTGCTGGTTCATTAGAGATAAGAGTCTCAAGGATGGGGCTGGGAAGGTGGCTCAGTGGTAAAGCGCTTGCCTTGCATGCCTGAGGCCCTGGGTTCGATTCCTCAGCACCACATAAGCAAAAAGAAAAAAAGGCTGGAAGTGGCGCTGTGCCTCAAGTGGTAGAGCACTAGCCTTGAGCTGAAGAGCTGAGGGACAGCGCCCAGGCCGAGTTCAGGTAGCCTTGAGCTGAAGAGCTGAGGGACAGCGCCCAGGCCGAGTTCAGGCCCCACAACCGGCCCAAAAAAAAAAAAGAGTTTCAAGGATTTTCCTACCCTGGCTGGCTTTGAACTGTGATCCTCAGATCTCAGCTTCCTGAGTAAGATGACAGGGGTGAGCCACTGGGGCCCACCGCAAGATGTATCTTTAGGACATAATCTAACCTCTCAAGTCCCCTCACCAGCTTGTAGTGCAGACAGAATGGGGATGGTTCAGACTAAGCAGCTAGAATATGCTATATGCTCAATAAACAAGCACCTGCTGTTGCCTGTCTCAGGAAGAGGGTGGAGCCTGCCCTCTGGTGTCCGGGAAAGGAATGGAGGATTCCACTTACCAATGGAAAAAGGCATGAAGGCATCATTCTTCTTCAGCGCCCCGTTGGCATCCAGAAAGTGGTCAGGGTTGAACTCATCTGGCTTTGCAAAGTAGTGTGGGTCATGGAGAGCAGAACTCAGGATGGGGTAGACTTCAGTGTTCTGGAAAAGGTTACAAGATCAAAGATATTGCTCTTTCTGGGACTGGACTGGAGGTGTGGTTTTGGCTGTTAGAGCACCTGCCTAGCCAGTCTAAAACCAAAACCAAGTTCAAACGCCAGTAGCATCATATATATATATATATATATATATATATATATATATATATATATATATAAAATATACTCACATGTAAGAAAATAGATTATTAAGTTTCGCAAAAATAATGAGACCCTGTTGAAAAATAGCAGCAAGTTGAGATAGAGGGTTAATGACAGAAGAGGTAACCTGGGCACCTGTAGTTCACACCCATAATCCTAGCTACTCAGGACCTGAGATCTACAGCATCTCAGTTTGAACCCAGCCCAGATAGGAAAATCCATGAAACTCTTATCTTCTGTGGTTCAAGTGGTAGAGCACCAGCCTTGAACACAAAAACTCAGGAACAGACCCCAGGCACTGAGTTCAAGGTGAAGAAAAAGGAGTGGGAGGCAAAGGAGGAGGAGGGAGGAGGAGGAGGGTAAGGAGAATGAGATGAAAGAGGAGGAGACAGAGAAAAAGAATGGCAAGGAGAAGAAAAGGAGGAAGAGGAAGAGGAGGAAGGAGGAGAAGGAGAAGGGAGGAGGAGAAGAAGGAAGAGAAAGAGACAGAGGAGAGGAGCAGAAGAGAGAGGAAGAGCAGGAGGAAGAGGATGAGGACTAGGTCGAGGAGGAGGGAGAGGAGGAGTGAAGGGGGAAGGGAGAGGGAGGGAAGGGAGGGGCCCAGCATGCCTCACCTTGGGGATGATGTACCCTCGGAACTCAGTGTCCTTGGTGACCGCATGAGGCACCCCGATAGGGAGGAGGTCAGAGAACCTCTGGATCTCGTGGATGACAGCGTCGGTGTAGGGCATTTTGGTGCGGTCATCGAGGGCTGGCGGGCGGTGAAGGCCAATGACCTCCTTGATTTCCTTTTGGACTCTCTCTGCACAGACAAGGGGGACAGTGAGCCGCACCTCGTGGAGACACTGCAGCGAGGACACTGTTTCCCGAGTGTTTATGACGTCATGACAACCTGCAGCGAGTAGCTCCGTGATCGCTGCCCTCAGCACAGTCCTCTAGGGGACAGGGCAGGGGGAGACACAGCAAGAATTCACAGCATGTCACAACATAAAAGTGTGTGCCCTTGTGGGGCTGGGAAGGTGGCTCAGTGGTAGAGCATTTGCCTTGCATGCATGAGGCCCTGGGTTCGATTCCTCAGCACCACATAAGCAAAAAGAAAAAAGCCGAAAGTGGCACTGTGGCTCAAGTGGTAGAGCGCTAGCCTTGAGCTGAAGAGCTGAGGGACAGTTCCCAGGCCCAGAGTTCAGCCCCCACGACCGGACCCAAAAATAATAATAATAATAATAAAAGTGTGTGCCCTTGGGTACTCATGAGTAAATCAATCGATCAATGAGCAGATGGATGGGTGAGTGGATGGGTGGATGAATAGATGAATGGATGGTTGGGTGGGTGAATGGATGAATAGATGCATGGGTTGATTGGCTAGATGAGTGGATGGGTGGACAGATGGATAGAGTGGATGGATGGATGGATGGATGGATGGATGGTGATTGGATGGATAGATGGATGGATGGATGGATAGATGGATGGATGGATGGATTCGATAAATAGGTAGACGGTTGGATGGGTAGATAATGGATAATGGATGTTTTGGGCAGGCAGGTGGATACCTAGACTGGTGAATAAAGAGATGCATATATGGGTAGATAGAAAAATAGATAATTGGATGGCTTGATGAGTGGGTGTATGGATGGATGGATGGATATGTGTGTAGGTAGATTGGTAAATAAATGTATGGATAGATGAGTGAAAGGATGAATGGATGGAGTGGTAGATGGATGGATGGCTAGGTGGGTGTATGGATGGATGGATTGGTACAAGGATGAGTGAATATGTGGGTAGATGTATGCATGCATGGATGGATGGACAGATAGGCAGATGGATGTATATACACATACATGGATGGATGGATGGATGGATGGGTGTGTGGATGGGTGAATGGGTGGAGTGGGTAGATTGATGAGTGGATAGCTCAATTTTTTAAGCAATGTGACAAAGGAGTGGAAGAAGGAATCAAAATTCTTTCTTTGCCCAGCAGAGGTCAAGTTTAGTTAAGAGGTCGTCCACAGCCTGGAGAGATGCTGGAATAAGAGGCCAGCTAGCCCGGTACTGGTGGCTCACGCCTGTAATCCTAGCTACTCAGGAGGCTGAGATCTGAGGATCGCAGTTCTAAGCCAGCCCGGGCAGGAGAGACCGTGAGACTCCTATCTCCAATAAACCACCAGAAAACCGGAAGTGGTGCTGTAGCTCAAGTGGTAGAGCGCTCGCCTTGAGCTGAAGAGCTGAGGGATAACGCCCAGGCCCAGAGTTCAAGCCCCACGACCAACCAAAAAAAAAGAGGCCAGCATCTCTCTCATGCTTTGCCCACCTCTGCAGTCCACAGAGGCTCCGCAGGCCTCACCGATCGGCTGCCTTACCTGCAATGTGGGGGAACTTCATCAAGATGAGGAAGCCGTAGCGCAGGGTGGTGCTGCTGGTCTCGGTGCCCGCAAAGAAGAGCGAGAGCAAGGAAATGATGAGATTCTGATGGTGGAACTCGGTGTGAGGATTGGATTTCTCCTGGTTTAGAGGAACAGGGGAGGAGGGGGATCAGAGGAGACAGAGACCTCACTGTGGGAAGGTACACAGAGTCTCTGGGTGCCCTCCCTGTTTTAGGATTCATGCTATTTCACCTGCAACACATCAGCCATTCAGTTCTGTCTCTGGCTCTCTCTTCCCTCTATCTTACTCTCGTATTCTTTTTGTTATTGTTGTTGTTGGTCGTGGGGTTTGAACTCTGGGCCTGGGTGCTGTCCCTCA